TATGTCTTCAAACTTTAAGATGAGAGTTTGGAGCTTTGCATATGAAGGAAGATGAACTTGTCTCTGATTACTTTTCAAGAGTTTTAGTGGTTACTAATCAACTATAAAGAAATGGTGAGAAGTTAGATGATGTAAGAATTATGGAGAAAATTCTAAGATCATTAGATCAAAAGTTTGAACATATTGTCACCATTACCGAAGAAACCAAGTCGATTCAAGAAAAGAAGAAAATGCACGCATCCAATTAAGACGAAGTTATAGGCAAGAATAAGGACAAGGGTAAGGACATGGACATGGACAAGGACAGACGCTTAACAACAATAACCAAAGAGGACAAAGCTCTATAAGAGGTCGTGGGAGAGGAAATTTGAATTTAAGGTACGACAATTCATGCATCAAATGTTACTCTTGTGATAAATTCAGACATTATGCTTCCGAATGTAGAATCAAAGGTGATAGTGATAGGTAAAGGTAATGTCCTCATCTGACTGAAGAATGGAGAACATCAATTTATTTCCAACATATATTATGCGCCCAACATGAAGAACAACATCTTGAGCTTAGGACAACTCTTAGAAAAAAGTTATGATATTCAACTTAAGAATGATAACCTTTCTATAAGAGATAATACGAGTAAATTCATTGCGAAGGTCCAAATGACAAGAAATATAATGTTTGAGGTCAACATTCAAAGAGATGGCCCACAATGTGTCAAGATGTGCTACAAAGACAAATAATGGCTTTTGCATCTTCGATTTGGCCATCTTAATTTTAAAGGATTAGAGTTATGCTCAAAGAAGGCAATGGTGAAAGGGTTGACATGTATTACTCACCCCAATTAAGATTGTGAAGGATGTCATGTAAAACAATTTTGTTTGAGTTTTCCAAATGAGTCAAACTTAAGAGCTCAAAAGTCATTATAACTCATACACACAAATGTATGCGGCCTAATCAAGCAAAGATCACTCGATAAGAGTAGTTATTTCCTTTTCTTCATTGATGATTTTTTAAGAAAAATATTGGTATATTGCTTAAAAGAAAAATCAGAGGTACTCGAGAGCTTCAAGAAGTTTAAAGCCCAAGTTGAGAAGGAAAGTGGCCTTATGATCAAAGATTTAAGATCTGACCATGGAGGACAATTCACATCAACAAAGTTTCGGAAGTATTGTGAAGACAATTAAATTAAACAATAGTTGACAATGCCAAAATCCCCTTAACAAAATGGAGTGGTGGAAAGGAAGAATAGAATAATCATGGAGATGGAAAGGAGTATGCTTAAAAGTAAGAGACTTCCAAAGGAGTTTTAGGCTAAAGTCGTTGCATGTGTAGTTTATCTAACCAACCGCTCTCTAACAAGAACTGAGTAAAAAAACACCACAAGAAGCATGGAGTGGAAGAAAACCAGGTATTTCTCATCTTAGAGTCTTTGAAAGCATAACTTATGTTCATGTACCATATGAGAAGCGAAGTAAGCTTGATGACAAAAGTGAAAAATACATCTTCATTGGTTACGACGCTAACTCCAAAAGTTATAAGCTCTACAATCCCGATACAAGGAAAATAATCATCAATTGAAATGTAGTATTTGATGAAGAAGGAGAATGGGATTGAAGAAGATGGTGTGGAACATCCACAATAATCAGAAGAGGCACCTGCTACCCTACCTACTTCACCAAATACAACCCCTTAAGAAGATGTAAGCTCAAGTGAAAGAATTCCACATTTTCGAAGTCTGCAAGAAATCTAAGAGGTTACTAAAAATCTAGACAATGTTACCTTATTTTATCTATTTGTTGACTGTGAGCCCATGAACTTCCAAGAAACAATTGAAAAGAAGAGTTGGAGAAATGTTATGGATGAAGAGATTAAGGTGATAAAGGAGAATGATACATGGGAGCTAGTCTCACTTCCAAAAGGCATAAAGCAATTGGTGTCAAGTGGGTTTACAAAACAAAGAAAAACTCCAAAGGAGAAGTTCAAAGATAAGGCAAGATTTTGGTGAAAGGCTATAGTCAAAGAGTTGTCATCGACTACGATGAGGTATTTGCTCCAATTGCTTGACTATAAACTATTAAACTTATTATATCATTAGCAACTCAGACTAATTGAAAGATACATCAAATGGATGTCAAATTTGTCTTCTTAAATGGAGTTCTTGAAGAAGAAGTCTACATTGAGCAGCCACAAGGATACGAAGTCAAGGGTGAAAAAGACAAAGTCTTGAAACTAAAGAAGACTCTTTATGAGTTGAAACAAGTCCCTATATATTGAAATGTTCGAATTGACAAGTACTTCAAAGAAGCAAATTTCATCAAGTGTCCATATAAGCATGCACTCTCTATATATCAAAGCTCAAGGTGAATATATTTTTATTGTATGCTTGTATGTCGATGACTTGATTTTCATAGGGAACAATCCAAACATGTTCGAGGAATTCAAGAAGGATATGACCATGCAAATTTAAATGACCGACATGGGGCTTATGACATATTATCTTGGAATAGAAGTAAAGCAAGGAGATGAAGGAATTTTCATCACTCAAGAAAGTTATGTTAAAGAGTTCCTCATGAAATTCAAGATGGATGATGTTAATCCAATTGGTACTTTTATGGAATGCGACATTAAGTTGACCAAGGATGAAGAGGGAGAAAAAGTGGACCCAACCCTCTATAAAAGTCTTGTTGGAAGTTTGCGTTATTTAACTTGTACAAGGCCAAACATTTCTATGTCGTTGGAGTCGTGAGTCGCTACATGGAAGCTCCAACAATTACTCACTTCAAGTCCGCAAAGAGGATTCTTTTATATATCAAAGATACAACAAGTTGTGGCCTATACTACTATATTTCTAAAGACTACAAGCTTGTTGGATATAGTGATAGCAATTGACATGGAGATATGAAAGATTGAAAGAGCACAAGTGGATATGTGTTCTACATGGGAGACACAATCTTTACTTGGATGTTCAAGAAAAAACCTATGGTCAATCTTTCTACATGTGAAGCAGAGTGTGTAACTGCAGCTTCATGTGTTTGCCATGTTGAAGTAGTTGAGCTTGCCACATGTGGAGCCAACAAAGATTTTCATGGACAACAAGTTGGCAATAGTTTTAGCAAAAAATCCAGTCTTTCATGATCGAAGTAAGCACATCCACACTTGTTTACCATTAAATGCATCAGCAACAAGGATGTGCAAATGGAATACGTAAAGACACATGATCTGGTAGCAAATATCTTCACCAAATCACTAAAGAATGAAGTCTTTATGAAGTTGAGAAGTTTGCTTAGAATACAAAATCAAGTTTAAGAGGGGTGTTGGAATAATAAATTGATTTTGTATTTTAGGCCTATAAGATAAAAGCCCAAGATTAAAAAAAGGCACAAATAGAGTTATATAAAATATCATATCTAGAAGGATTTTAGAATAAAGTATAAAAATATCTAGAGAGATTTTATCTATAAGACATTTTTAGATAAAATCCATATAATGTCTAGAATTATAAGAGAATGAATTATAACTCTTAGATTAATGTTATATTGGCAAGATCCTAATTGGTTGAAAAGGTACCACTAGTATAAATAGAAATGATTTGATAACATGTAATCAAGCAAAAAATAATTAGAACACTAATATTACAACAAGCCTTTCTTTCTCTCAAAATCTTTTAACCTCTCATAATTTGTAAACACTTCTTTCAAACCTCTGAACTTTTCTCCCTACAATTATAAGTACAATTTAACCGTAAATAAGAGAGAAACAAGGAAACCAAAAGGAGTTACCTTTATTATTAATACATATATTGTATGTAAAAGTTATTACGGAAAAGAATTTGAAGTTCTAAAAATAAACAAACTAAAATGTATCAAGTGCTGAACATATAATGTAATATTTTACTGCATAATTTAATCTTTGAGAGTTGAAATTTTTTAATATTGAGTCCATGATCCTGCAGGATTAGTTTATACATTGAGCCATGTTGAGTGTGGTAATTAGAGAATGAATGCAGATAATGAATAAAGAATGATGATGAGTTGTTGTGAGTGTAGGAGTAAGATGTAGTGGATGGAGAGTGAGAATGAGAAGGAAAAAATAACAGTGAGAAGTGCTTCAAAGCAAGGATATATGAGTGGCGGTGAGAACACTTTTCCTTGAAGATGTAGATATGTGGATTGTTGTAAGTAGTTGCACACCTTTTCCTTTATGCATACAATTACTTTAATTTGATAATCCTTTGTGGAGGCCCATGCTTTTGCTTTGGTCCTCCTCGTTATTTTCAGTGCTTCCTCCTTTTCCTCAGTGAGAGCCTGTAAAAGTCTCAGCTCTAAGCAATCTCTTGTCACTCATTCCTCTTTCTCATAAAGCTACACTACAGCCTCAGAACAAGACAACTTCCATCCCTCCAAAATCCCACCACCCTTTTCATTATTCTATTCTTATAATGACCTGTCTTTCATCTTTATTATTTACTCACCTCTTTCTTTATTTTAACTCTCTCTCTCCCTCTCTCTTCTTCCCTTCTACTTCCCTTCTCTGTCCCCTCTTTTCCATTTATTATTTAGTGCTGTACTGATTGGGATCTTGAGTGCTTGCAGGCCTTTCTTTGCTTCTTGAACCTTGAGAAAGCTTCATAGCTAGACACACAACATCGACCCTGCTATAGGAATTCATCACACTCACTCGTAAAGCTATATATATAGGTCTATATGCAAGATGGTTGGAAGAACCAACCTAACTTCTACCTCTCAATATATATCTTCAATTTGCTTTTTATTACCTTTCTTCTCTTATATACACCATTCCTTGTGAGGCCTGCTATTTCAATTTCTTGAGCTTGCTGATGATCTTGTGAGAAACGGACTCGTTATTGAAGAAGGAAAGGAGGGTGTCTGGAATGAAGTTTGATCCGAAATCATTGTCTCAGTTTCATCTTTAGCTTTGCCTGATGTGTGTGTGTGTGAGAGAGAGAGAGAGAGAGAGAGAGGGAGAGAGATTTTTCATCTGTGATGGAAAGGGGGTGTTTGGAATGAAGTTTGATCCAAGATCATATATCTTCAATTTCCTTTGTGTTTGCTTCTTGATTTACCTTCATAAATTTGTTTATCATCACTTCATGCATGGGATGGGACTGATCTCGGACCAGGCTTCATTCTTCACACCTACCTTTCCTTGTAGAAGCAATCAACCACAACAAGACAAAGGTAATCCCTTTTTTCCTTCCAAAATGATTCGTCTATCTATCAGATTTAAGTAGTTTTCTGGTTTCCATGTCCTTTTATGTTCTACCAACCAAAAATATTTTAGGCAGATATCCATAGATTCAGTTTCTTTTTCATTTGCTATCATTATTGCTTGTCTTTGGTGGTGTGCTTTTGAAAGAAGATGGAGAACTCACCATCAACTGTGTTCTCAATATTTAACTTGTGTATTCATGGTACCTAATATAGCTAAATCTGTGTGGTCTAGTTAAATTGATCCGAGTCTTATCAGATGCATTGATAGTTGGTTTGGAATATTTTTGGTTGCTTTTAGCCGTATCATTTAAACTAGAAGAAGAGAGTGATCAAATCCAAGGAAAAAAACTCATAAAAAGCACTCGGTTTCTGAAACCACGAGCCGCAAACAACACTATGATCTCAATCTACAGAAACTATGAGCACACCATATTCCATGTTTTGCACAGAAAAATATGTAGCTAAATGCTAAATCTAAACATAATTAAACATTAGTTGATTGATACTTCTCCCACGCCCAACGCGCCGTCATCTTTGTCCTTGCTGCTTTCACACACCTATTCTAAGAAACCCTAGCCGAGTCTTGTGACTTTCTAGGACACATTCATCTTTTGTATCAATGAAAACTTTCATATGATGAATGATACATCATAAAGGTTGACATCCATTTTGGGGAATTATTGGCACCACCCTGTTGCTGAAACAAGACAATAAGACAATGAGTTTACTCAGATATTCCCTCCATAGTTCAATACTGCCCCTGCTTTTCCCCATTAACTGTAGCCACAAAAAGGGTTAATCACTGCATACATTTTACATACTTATTCTGCATATCTTTTGTATGTATGTGCATGCCTTAACATGTAGATCAAGATATAAAGTTAACATCACACATACATACACATTGTTATTTCTTCTTACATTACTCTATCTTAATTGACAAATAACCATTGTTCCAGAGTGTTACAAGGAACTCAGCATATAGTTAGAAGCATCGGTTGTACATGTATATGTGTGTGTATATATATATATATATATATATATATATATATATGCAGAACTCATTCTAGTATCACATAGGGGTAGGGTACAAGAATCTCGCTGTCTTCTTGCTCTACGTTTGTGAGCGGTATTCAGATTCCTTGGAATATATCATACAACATTTTGTTTTTTTTTAAAAGCATATGTATAATATGTTGGATTTATTTTATAGGAAATGTCAGGAAGTTGAATGCATGCTTGATATGGATAAATTGATATTTTACTGACTTCTATGATATTGTTTTTGTTAATTTGGTATGTATGGAACAACATTAAAACTTGTTCTTTAAGCGCGTGGTAAAAGCTATATGTCACGTGACAAAGAACTATATCATTGCAAAGTTATGGCGTGATGTGAGTTAAAAACTGAAGTCACTTTTAACCTACACCACATGAAATTGTGATGTACACAGTTATTGGATAGCTTATGGTTGAACTTAACTTATCTTCCTTTTTCTACTTTTATCTACCTGTTTCTTTTCTCTTACTTTCTATTTGTGTGTATGAAAGCATATTTTTCTTTCTTTTTCTCATAGCAAACTTTAATTTATAGATTTTTCGTGTTAGAAATAATATCCGAATAAAATTACTTTGTATGTTATTATCATGTAAATTATTGGCTAAGGTTGATACGTATGTTTGGATGCGAAACTAGTAAGTTTTAATAGAATGCATTCTACGTCTTAAGGTTTTTCCTCGATATGGGTTTATTTGTTAGCAAGAAAGAACGCTAAAAACGACGTAAATTAACTTTATATTGGAGTGTATAGTTTTTAAAATCCAAACAAAATTTAAAATTGGAAATTAAAAGAGAAGATTAGAAATTATTTGAATGATTATTTTATAATTAACACAGGTGAATTAGAAAATTTCTCGATACGCAATGAGTCTCCTCCATTAAAAAACTCATGATTTTCTTTCTCGTCATAAAAGAACTCCCCCTTCTACTAATAAGAAAAATAAGAGGATCTACCAAATCTATTTTTCGAGCTAGGAGTATTGTTTTATAATTTAATTCCGTGTAGATAGGTGTTATAAAAGTTTTCAAACAATTTCACAATTATTTAATATATATAAGTTTCAAATGGATTTTTTTTACTATATACTATTTTATGGACTAATGAACATTTTTTTCTTTGAATAAAAAAAAATCTATATACAAGATGATCTCCAAAATATTCTATTGATGGAATAAATTTGGACAAATGGTTTTTACTTAAACATTATCTAAAGTTCACATCAATATTCATAACTATCTCATAAACTTTAACTATTTACGCATTTAGTAGGCATGTTTCGCTTCCTATCCCAAAAATGTATATTTTCGATGTAGAGAAGGCATACGTATAAGAAATTTAAAGCATATATAAAGTGTTTTCATTCAGTAATTGACTTATAAAAAAAATTTGCAATTTCAACTCCTTCTGAGTTTTATTTTTTCGTTTAATATGATTTAGTGTTTAACTTTAAAAAATTATACTGCATTCTAAACCCTTTAAATTTACACACCACCCCTACATAATATTACTCCTCATTTCTTTTCTTTTTTTCTCATTTTTCCTTTTATTTTATTTCAAGTTACAAGCAAATGCTCAGCATAATACTGAGTCAAAATAACTAGGGAATTAATATGAAACAAAATTTTTCTTTTTCCTAATAAAAACTATTGTTTTCAAGTCAGGTGTAGTGGGAAGGGTGTATCTTCAGCATTAATAATGTATTAATAGTTAATATTACTTAAATGAGTTGTTTATATTGATTTATGAGTTTTTACAATGTCTGTTATGCTCAAAATTTTATATAAATATTCACCCAAATATTAATATAAGTGTTTAAATTAATTTTACATGTATTATATTTAATCCCGAGTATTAATATTTGAAGTATTTTCTTTGTTAATGTCTCTCCTTCACAGCATTAATTTTTTAAATAAAGATTATTGTGTAAAGGTTATCATGTCATTTTTTCAATGATAAATTTTGCAATGCACGACTTGAAACAATATTTTTAACCAACATTAATTATAACTTAGATGATAAACTACCACAGTTTTTCTAAATATGAAGATCTAATATTTTTTGGGTATTTAAAATTAATTTAAATATAAAATGAGAAAGTTCGAAAATTTTGCAGAAAAATAAATTTAATAATTTTTTAAATTTTTATATTGCTATAAAATGAAAAGATGTTGTTATTGAGAACACTTCTTTAGGAGCGCTCTCTAAAGGCCCAATATATGAGAAAGAATAAAAAGTAAATAACATTATATTAAAACCTCTTTATTTATGAGAAAAGTGAAAACAATTATTTAAGTAACTGCTCTAAAAATGTACATTTTTAAAGAAACTAAATTAATATACTTTTCTAAAGTATATAATTAAATAAGTTCACCACTATTTCATAAAACACTTATTCATCAAAGTGTTGTATAAATGTATTTTTTTTATGTAGTGTATCGATCTAAGTATAATATGATACATTTATGACCTTTGAACCAAAAACAACATTTCCCTTCGTAAAAGTCACGGTAAGATTTTGTTTTAACCTCATTTTCATATTAAGTTAATTACTCATTAAGGTTAATTAACATTAGAGTCATCCAAGAAAATTTATCACATGTGAGTCAAAAACAGGTTCATAAGGAAAGTAAAATTTTGATTTTGATCTCTTAAATTTCAATTGAGTGAATATATATATATATATATATATATATATATATATATATATATATATATATATATATATATATCTCGAAGTCATTTTCATTAATAATTTAATAAATTTAGTTCATGGTAGATATTGACGGGACTAGAGAGATTGTGTGTGTCTACATGGTATATTATATGATAAATAATATATAATTTTTACAATTTATACGTATTACTTGTCAAATATGATATTATTATATTAATTGTAACGACCTAATTAATAAATATTATATACTAATTATATTATTACATAATTAATAAAACAGTAACAAATGTAAATATATGTGTAAGTACAATGTATTTATAATTTTTTTTAAAAAGTGTTTAAACAATTTTTAAAAGAAAATATGAGAAAATACAAAATCCAAGAATAAATATAACTTATTATACTCAAGCTTTGCAATTTCGTTGCTTGTTCGTCTCTATCATCTACTTAATTATTCTGATGTATAAACTACAATAATCGAAAGTGGATATCACAATACAACAAAGAAAAATATAGGGTAGTAAAAATTAAAACAATATTACACATATTGTCACCATTAACTTAAAATCAACAATTGAATCATGAATCAAATGTTTATCACATAGCACAATGGCATAATATTCATGATTTAATCATAATATAGACAACTATACTTTCAGGATACTCATAAATTGAATAGACTCAAAGATTTTGCATTTGTCATAACTATTAATCTCGCATATTTGGAACTATAACTATATACTTGCTAGGACCATCTTGAGTATGATTATGATAAATTTTTCATATATGATATTAGATTCTTTTTCATATTAAAGTTTTAAATTAAAGGAACCTCGTTTAACTCTCATCAATAGATATACATCAACTAACATAAATTCAATGTAACACTCTCTTCCTACAAATGAACGCATTCACACCATCACACAAACATATAACTTGTTCCAAAAACATTAATTTAATTGAAAAGAAATCTTTTTTTCTCAATTTTTCACCCACCCAGGAACTTCCCCACCTAAGGAAAACAAAATAGAGCTTTTTGGATTTTTAATTTTCAGTTGACACCTAATGACACCTAGCTCGACCCTAGTGGCTCAAGTCCTAATGCTCAATGAAAAAATCAATTTCATTTTCCGTTCAACACCCTTCTCCCTCGTTCAAAGACCAAGGTTTTGGAAGCCAATTGTTTGAAGCTCGTCCAACGACATTGATAAACTACCCAACGGTACTACAAAATTTTAGAATAATGATATGTGTATCATATTAGACTTTCTTTTTTTCTTGTACTAAAAACAAGTTTAATTCAATTTAAAATCTTCTGAGATGGTACCAACTGATTAATTTGATACGTTTTACTCAAATCAAAATATTTACTCAGTCTCATTTCTATTAATACACATCAATCACAACCTAAATAACTATTCCACAAAACAGTTTAATATTTCATCCACTTTATTAGTTTTGTAATTCAAGCTTTAATGTTTGTCAGTTTTGTTAGTTAAATACCGTTTTACTGTTATTGTTGTATGTTACATATATAAACATTTTGTAACTCTTTGTCAAGACAGTTCTTTTCTCTCTATTACATTTCTTTCACAATCATTGTTACATCTTCTCTGCCTATCTCATTTTCTGCTATCAGTTTTCTCTGCATCACCTTTTCTACTATCAGTTTTCTCTGCATCACCTTTTCTGCTATCAGTGGTATCCAGAGCTTTGGTCGAGGAAGGGCCTAAGGTGAATTGTGGGTTAATCCGGGTACAGTAAAGAAAAAAGTTCTTTGGGCAGGAAAGAAGAAGGATCATGGCTGATTTTTCTATGACAAATCTTCCCATTCTTACAGATAAAAATTGGAGTAGGTGGAGTACACAGATGCGAGTTTTGTTTCGAGTTCAAGACGTCATCAGTGTGGTTGAAGGACAGGATTCTGCGGTTGATTTCCACAGTTCAGAGGATCAGAAGGAGATGCATAGAAAGAAAGATGATAAAGCTTTACTGATAATTCACCAATGTGTGGACGACACACATTTTGAAAAAATCCAAAATGCGAATACAGCAAGGGAAGCGTGGAATATCTTGGTCCGTTGTCATGCTGGAGGGGAGAAGATTAAGAAAGTAAGATTGCAAACACTGAGAAGACAGTATGAATTGCTGCAAATGGAGGACAATGACAAGGTCAGTGAGTATTTCAATAGAATTTTGTGTCTTACCAATCAAATGAAAGGTTGTGGTGAAAAGCTCATTGATTTAATGATAATGGAGAAAATAATGAGATCATTACCTAGACGGTTTGATTTCATTGTTGTTGCAATCGAAGAATCTAAAGATCTTGCAGAGTTAAAGATCGAAGAACTTCAGAGTTCTTTAGAGGCTCATGAGATGAGGCTCTTGGACAGAGATCCTATCAAAGCTGATGAGCAAGCGTTGAAGGTCCAACACATTAGAGGAGAAGGAAAGAAGAAGTATAAGAATTGGAAAGGCAAGTCTGCTACACAAAAAGAAATGGAAGAATAATGACAATTCAGATGATCATGAAGAAAAAAAGTGAGTCATCTGAGAGAAAAAGTGGTTCAAGGAAGAACTATAAGAAGAAAGACAAGAGAAATATAGAATGTTTCTCCTGTCATAAGATGGGACATTTTGCCTCTGAGTGTTACTCGAATAAGGATAAACAACACAAGAAAGAGTATAATAAAGAGGTTCATCTTGTCAAGGAAGAATCTGACTCAGAACCGTTAATTCTAATGGTTACAACGTTTCCAGA